AGGAAGGAGCAGCAGGGGCAGCCTCCGCCCACAGCCCCCCACTACAGCTCTCGGAAGCAGAACTGCTGAATCAGCTGCAGCGGGAGGTCGAGGCGCTGGATGGCGCCGGGTATGGGCACATCTGTGGCTGCTGCGGTCAGACCTACGATGACCTGGGCAGCCTGGAGCGTCACCACCAAAGCCAGAGTTCTGGGAACACCAATGGCGAGGTTCCCAGCCTCATTCATCACCCGGGAGAGTCAGGTGATGCCACGGGGATGGCTGCAGATGGCACCTTTGAGGGCACGGTGACCTCTTTTTCTGGGGAGGGTGGAGACACAAAGTCTGGAGAGGGAGTAGGTGCCACGCTTGCAGACAGCCTTTGTATGCCGGGTGGGGAAAGTTCTCTGGAGACCCAGCCCCGCCCCTTCCGCTGCAACCAGTGCGGCAAGACCTATCGCCATGGGGGCAGCCTGGTGAACCACCGCAAGATCCACCAGACCGGAGACTTCATCTGCCCCGTCTGCTCGCGCTGCTACCCCAACCTGGCTGCCTATCGCAACCATCTGAGAAACCACCCGCGCTGCAAAGGCTCTGAGCCCCAGCTGGGGCCCGTTCCAGAGGCAGGAGGCAGCGGTGAGCCCCAAGACATGGCAGAGGGCCTCGGGCAGGCAGAGGTGGAGAAGTTCCAGAAGGAACTTAAAGTGGAGCCCCTGGAGGAGGTGGCGAGGGTGAAGGAAGAGGCCTGGGAGGAGACCACTGTGAAGGGGGAAGAAATGGAGCCGAGGTTGGAGACCGCGGAGAAGGGCTGCCAGACTGAAGCCAGCTCTGAGCGGCCCTTCAGCTGCGAGGTGTGCGGCCGGTCCTACAAACACGCTGGCAGCCTCATCAATCACCGGCAGAGCCACCAGACCGGCCACTTTGGCTGCCAGGCCTGCTCCAAAGGCTTCTCAAACCTCATGTCCCTCAAGAACCACCGGCGCATCCACGCGGATCCCCGACGTTTCCGCTGTGCGGAATGTGGGAAGGCCTTCCGCCTGCGCAAGCAGCTGGCCAGCCACCAGCGGGTCCACATGGAGCGCGGTGGGGCTGGGGGCTCCCGTAAGCTGCCCCGGGAAGATCGGCCCTTCCGCTGTGGGCAGTGTGGGCGGACCTACCGCCATGCCGGCAGCCTCCTGAACCACAGGCGTAGCCACGAGACGGGCCAGTATAGCTGTCCCGCCTGCCCCAAGACCTACTCCAACCGCATGGCCCTGAAGGACCACCAGAGGCTGCACTCGGAGAGCCGGCGGCGCCGAGCTGGGCGGTCCCGGCGGGCAGCTGTGCGCTGCGCCCTCTGCGGCCGGGGCTTCCCTGGCCGGGGATCTCTGGAGCGGCACCTGCGAGAGCATGAGGAGACCAGAGGGGGTCAGGGAGGCCCAAACGGCACCGAGGGCGGTGAGGGGAACCTGGTCGATGACCAGGGACTAGAGGACCGGTGGTGCGGTACTGAGTCGGTACCCCTGCTGGAGGCTGGAGTCATGAGGCCAGCGGAGCAGAGTCAGAGCCCCCTCAAGGCAGCAGGTTTAGAAGGCACGGAGCCAATGTCCTGGGGCACGGGGAAAGCAGATGGGTGGCGAGGAGACAGAGGACTGGTGAATCATGATGGAGATTGGGTTCCTGGGGGTCACGTACCAACCAAGCCGGAAGACGAGTCAGGGGACAGTGTCCCCAGGAGTCCTTGCCACCTTGGCAATAGCCAGCCCAATGGACCTAGTCTGATTCCCATGGATAGCTGGGACAATGGAGACAGCAGCCCTCAGCCTCAGCCGGAGAGCCACTCCTTTTCCTGCAGCCCTTGTGGCAAGACCTCCTGCCAGTCGGAAGGGCCCTGGAAACACCACAACACCCACAAGACAGACCGTCACTATTGCCTGCTCTGCTCCAAGGAGTTCTTGAATCCTGTGGCCACCAAGAGCCAGAGCCACAACCACGTAGCTGCCCAGACCTTTGCCTGCCCTGACTGTGGCAAGGCCTTTCGGTCCCACCAGGAACTCGCCAGCCACCTGCTGACTCATGCCAGGGACCTCAGTCAGGTGTCGCCCCTGATGGAGGGCAGAGGTCCCAAAGCTGGGGCTGTGGAGGATGAGGTGGATCTCCCTGGTCAAGTCTGGAAGGCCCCATCAGAACCCCCCAGGGCCCCAGGAGAGAATGCCGGGAGAGCTAATGGAGGCCAAGGCGTCAGGTCCGCAGCGGCTGTGGACGAGGAGCGGCCCTTCCGCTGTGCCCAGTGTGGGCGTTCCTACCGCCATGCCGGTAGCCTGCTGAACCACCAGAAGGCCCACACCACTGGACTGTATCCCTGCTCCCTCTGCCCCAAACTTCTACCCAACCTGCTGTCCCTTAAGAACCACGGCAGGACCCACACGGACCCCAAGCGCCACCGCTGCAGCGTCTGTGGCAAGGCCTTCCGGACAGCTGCCCGGCTGGAGGGCCACGGGCGGGTCCACGCACCCCGAGAGGGGCCCTTCACCTGCCCCCACTGTCCCCGCCACTTCCGCCGCCGCATCAGCTTCCTGCAGCACCAGCAGCAGCACCAGGAGGAGTGGACAGTGGCCAGCTCTGGTACGGGGACATGAATGGGCTTGGGCAGAGGATTGGAGGGTCCCAGAGGAGGCGGGCACACAGTAGAGGGTAAAAACTGGCCCCAAGGGGAGCAAGGAGTGAGAGGATCACGTGGATTTCAGGAGGCGGCCAGGGCTGGGATGTAGAGAAAGCTAGTTTGCGCATGCTGCCTTTTGAGTGGCTGAGATCTGAACCCCTGGGGGCTACCTTACCCCAAGGTGAATAGGTAGCCTGGTGGGTTGGGGTAGTCAGGGGTGGTAGGGAGTGGTCAGGGGCAGAGGCAGCTGCCGGGGCTCCTCTGCTGTGCTGGAGCTAGAGAGGAACGGTCTTTTTGTTTTGGGAGGGGAGGTAGCTGTGTACCACCTGGCTGCTGCATCCGGACACTCCCCTGATCCAGCCAATTAAGTAATGATTTCCAGAGAACAAGATGGTCTAGGTTCTGCTCTTCCCTAGAGTAGGCAAGGAGCCAGGGAAAAAGGAAGGGGGCATGGGAGGCACCCCCAGACTGTGGCTTCCATGCTGACCTGGTCAGGGAACAGGGTCATTAGTTGGCACCCAGCTCCCTGTCCCTGTTTCCCCGAATCTTGTCTCTGCTCCCCCTCCTCTTTTCTTGGAAACTAGACCCTTGGCCCTTTCCCACCTCTATTGGCCCACGTTTCTTCTTCCCTTTATTCAACCTTCTTCTCTCTCTGCTGTGCATTTCCTTTTTGGGATCCAACCAAACCACCCTTTCCACCTGCACACCTGCCTCCCCGCCGGCACACCTTTAACTGGAGGGCTGAGTCACAGATAATTGATTCTTTGAAACCAGGCCTAGCTATAGCAACAACAGTTATCAGCCCCTATTTCCCTTCCGTCAAGGGGAATCTCCAGGGAAAGACACCTCCGCCCAGCCTTGCTGGAGGACGAGGCTGCAGAGGAATGGGAGAGCCTGTTCCCTCAGCAAGTCCCGGGCTTGCTCTCCACCTCCCCTAGGGATCTGTAGCCCTTCTCCCAGGGCCACTTCCATTTAGTGGCCCCCAAAGTGGGTGTCCCTGAGATGGTGGGCCCCTTGACCAGAGATTGTCAGGGCAGGAGGGGTGGGTGGTGAGATTCCCCTGAGAGTGCTGATAAGATGGCTTTCAGGATAAAAGCGTTCTCGTGTCCCCAAGGGAATGAGTGAGGAGTTAGTTAACCAGGTCTGGGGAAATAATTGGGAGTTCTCACACAGGCCTTGGGGGCAGGGGCTGTGGGGAATGGCCTGCAGGGCTAGGGAGAGGGAGGGGTACAAGCTGTGTGGGGTTTGTGCCCTCAGTCGCCTCGTCTTTCTCTCCCCAGGAACCCCAAAGGCACCAGCGGCGGGCAGAGGGGACTTGTCATTGCCCCCTCCACCCACCCCCACGACCCCACTCCGGGACCCTTCACCCCAGTGGCCTGCAGACCTCAGCTTCTCCCTCTGAAATTCAAGTTTCCAAAGATCAGAATACGGGGTAGGGGGAGGGCAGGTTGTAGGGAAAGGCTTGATCTCCTTGTTTTGCTCAGGAGTAGTTTGGGCATCCCCAGCTCTGTTCTCCTCTCCTCCTGCAAAGAGGACCCAGATCTGGCTTCTTTCCCACGGAGGGGGTGAGATGTTCCTCCCGTCCTGTCCTTCAAGGACCTCCTTTCCCCTGCCTTTGTCACCATGCTCTTCCCTGTGACCAGCCCTGCAAGAAACCCAGTGCCAGGCTCTGCAGCCAGGCCACCCTCACCAGCCAGATTCCAACACTCGGGAGAGGCAGATTCAGAGAGAGAGCCATGGGTGGGAATGTTGCCTGTGGAAGGGGGGAGCCCTTTACTACAATTTGTAATTTATTTTCTAAAGTCTATTTTGTAACAATTTATTTAAGTTTAAAAAAACAGGAAAATTGCTCCCCCCAAAAAAAGAAATTTTCAAAGTACATGGCTGGTGTGGTTGTATCTGAGGGGATGATGAATAGGGAAAGCTGGGGACGCCTGCGTTGGACCACAGAGCTGGACGTGGAGGGGGCATCCACAGGGGAGGTCTCCCTGTGCTGCAGAGGGGAGCGGGGGCAGCTGTCGGTTGGGGCAGGCTCCTTCCCAGAGCCCATTGCGCTGTCGGGCCTGCCCCAGTGGGGGACAGGGTCGGGGGGGATGGCAGAGGGGCAGGGGCAGTGACGCAGGAATTGCCTCACTGTGACCGCAGCATCCCAGAGCCACCTGTCAACAGCTGGCTGGCTGGCCTGCCTGTCAGGGAGAGGAAGGAGGATGGGGCTGGCCTCGTCCTCACAGCTTCCCTCCCTTCCTCCCTTAGAGGAAGAGGAAGGAGGCGCTCTTCAGCCCCCATGACAGATGAGAAAAGTGAGGTCCGAAGAGGCTGAGAGGCGTGCTCTCCCAGTCAAACAATGACAAGAGCCAGAATTTGAATCCAGATGGGTCCGTCCACTGCTCCACTCCACCCAGGGCAGCTAGAGGTGGGTCAGGCCAGACCCTGCCCTGTCCTGCCCCAGGTCGAGAGAGAAGGTGTCTGCGGAGGCAGTGTTGGCACAAGGGCCCAGGGCCACGTACTCTTTGTTAGCCGGACAGCTTTCAGGCTCGGCCTCAGGCCCTGGCTCCTCAGCGAAGTAGACCCGCCATTCCAAACTGCTGACCCAGTTCTCATAGGTGGGGAGCATTGTAAAGATGGCAGGCCTTGCCGGGCCTTCGCAGGCATCTCCGAAGCTGTGCAGCCCAGCCAGGAACCATGTGCCCCTCACTTCCTGCACCAGCGGTGCCCCCGACAGGACCTGTCAGGGGTCAGGGGACACTGGTGACTTCCTCCTCTCCCTAGGCAGCTTCACGGGGCAGAAGGGGCTGAGGCCGGGGCTGGGGGCCTGGCTGTTTGGGAGCCAGTTGGCAGAAAGGCTGAGTTTCGGTGAGAGGTCTGAGGCCAAGCCTGGCAGAAGGTCTGTTCATGAGTGGCAGTGCGAGGGGTGCGAGGAGTCCGTGGGGTGAGGACAGGGGGAGTGGGGCTCACCTCACAGCTGGGCGGCTCACCCACAGCACTGGTGCACATCGTCCGTGGCAGAATGGGGGTTCTGTCACTCCCAAGGGCTGTGTGCAGGCGGCTACAGGCCCTGAACCCCAGGAGGGTCACAGGCACTGTCTGAGGGGAGCTGGTGCCTGCAGGGTGACAGAGAAGACCCAGCTGCTGCCTCGGCCTCTAGGCTAGATGCACAGCTGCTGGTGGCCCTGTCCTATACCTACATACCTGCTCCTTGGCGGGCTAGCCCCAGGACCCAGCCGTGTTCCCCATCAGGCAGGTGGTGGTCCGCGTAGGGCAGGCAGAGGGGCCGCAGGCTGGAGCCCAGTGTTACGGGCTGGGCCAGCAGCAGGAGGGCCACGTCATAGCCCCCCTCTGGGTGGCTATACATCCCATGCAGGATGACTTTCTTCAGGCCCCGCTCCTCTGGTCCGGCCCCCAGGCCTACAGTCCATTCCTCTGGGGTCTGGCGCCTGTGCAGGGACAGCATTGACAGCACTGGGTGGCACGGCTGCCAGCAAGGGTGGGGGCACAAAGGCAAGGGAGACGGGACTCACCCAGTGAAGCAGTGGGCAGCAGTCAGCACCACCTCCTCGGACACCAGGGCTCCGCCACAGGCCAGCTTCCCTTGGTGCTTCAGCCTGGCGTCCCAGGGCCGTGGGGAGGGAGCTTCTGCCTGGGGCCCTTCTCTCCTCAAGGATCCACAGGCTGAAACAGACGGATTACATCATCTGTCTTCCTGCTGAGTGCTCACCGCATGCCAGGCCCCGTGCTAACCGCTTCCCATGTGCTATCAGCCATCTTCACAATATCCTTTTAAGTTGAATCTCGCTTACCCTAATTACCGAAGGTAACCAAAGTTCCAGAGGGGTTAAGTGACTTTCTAGCTCAGTAACCACAGGCAAATAGCCAACCTGAGATTCAAAATCCAGGGCCTAAGCTTTTAACTCTGATGGTCCAGGATCATGGGAGTGGCCTGCTCATCATTCCCTACCCCGCCTGTCTGCACCCTTCTGGGCTTGGAGTGGCCCCAGAACTCCTGGCTCACCGGTGCTTCTCTTAACATCAAGATAGAGCTTCCGCCTTAGGAATTATTTTGCATGCAGTTTGCATGTTAGTCACTTACTGCCAGAATTAATGCCCCACTGAGCGGGAGCCCTGCCCTCTCCAATCTCATGGAGTTCCTGCTCGGAAACTTGCAGCCTACCCCAAAACCTTCAGCCAGATCCCAGAAATTCCTCATCTTACCTAAACCCCAAATTCATAAAGTTCCAAAGCATCTATGCCTCTTAGCCGTAAATGGAGCTGTTCCCATCCTGGGGGCTGAAAGGGGCCTTATAAGCCCCCTCATTAGCCCCTGGCAGCGTGTGGATACCCTGTATCAGTTTTCTATTCTGAGCTGAAATTTGTTCCACTGTGGCTTCCACCTGCTGCCCAGAAGTCATGCAGCCCTGAGGGGAGGTCCCCCCACGTCCCGCTCCTGACACTTGCTGCTCATACCTACACAGCTGTCCTCATCACTGATCTCTGGGGTCTCAGCGTCCTGGGCTACGAAGGCTGCCCCCTGAGCCTGAGCCTGGAGCCAGGAGCTGTGAGCAGTCACGTCGGTCAGCAGCACCGGAGTGTCTTCCTGGGCGCAGTCTGTTGCAAAACTGATGATCCCAGCTTGAACCCAGTGTCCGTCAGGTTCGCGGCACAGCACGGGGCCCCCGGAATCTCCCTGGAGCCGAGCAGTGTTGTCAAGGACAGACACCTGAGCCCCAGCCCTGGGCGGACACCATCTACGTGTGTTCCTTCCCACCAGTCCCTGTGGATTGAGTGCCCAGCCCCCTCCTGTTCCCTTCCCTTGTCCTCCCCCTCAGACCTGACAGGGCCCCTGCACCCCGGGCTGGGGACCTCCACACAGCATCTCAGGCCGGGCCGGGCTGGCCAGCAGCCGCTGGTGCAAGCGGTTGTAGAGACAGTTACACGTGGGGCGGCTGATCAGACGCAGGTGTATATTCCGTAGGGCCCTGGGAACTGGTGAAAGAGAGGGGGTTGGGGCTGGAGTCTGGGCTCGGAGGAGCAAGGGAGACCGGGAACGTGGAAAGTTGGCAGCTGAGGCTGTGTGACCTTGGGCAAGCAGAGTGACCCTCTGGGCTCCAGCCTGGGTCAGCACTTACCGTCATTGTCCTGATCCCAGCCAGTGGCCCAGCAGTAGGTCCCAAAGGGGAAGCGATGGGCAGGTTGAGGCAAGCAGAGGGGTGTGTGGGCCACGGGGTGGGCGAGCCGTAGCAGGGCCAGGTCCGAGCCCTGGCTGTAGTGCTTATAGTCCCTGGGCAGCAGCAGAGCCGTCACCCCCACCTCCTCAGCCCCTGGGCTCAGCCCCTCATGCTTCAGAGAACCCAGGACAACTGACCAGGAGTGCAGTTCCATGACTGTCGCCCTGGAAGTGGGGGGGACAAGACCCAGGCATTGAGTGCAACGGGGGACGGTGACACCATGGGAGACAGCACAAAGTGGGTGAAAGATGGACAGAAAACCTGTGGCTTTAAGCAAGGTCCATCCTTCTCCCAACTCAGTTGTCTCATTTGTAAGGCTTCTACCATGAAGGGCTGTGAAGATTAACTTGATAGTATGTACCCGGCACATGGCATATTTTTAATAAATGGTACTTTGTTACTCTAGGGGCAGGGCTCAGTCTTGAGGGGCTTGGGGACAAATCATTCACCCCCAAAGCCAGAAACCCTGTTTGACCACAGCCGTGACTCACTTTTCTAAGCAGTGGGCCGCAGTGAGGACCCAGCTGTCCGCCACCAGGGACCCGCTGCAGATGTGGGCCCCCTGCCTCCTCACACTGGCCTGCCACGGCCACTCGCCAGGCACCGTGTTGCCCTCCTGAGGTGTGGAGGGGCCAGGGCCACGCTGCCCGCATGCTGTGGAGAGGCGGGGGTCAGGGTGACAGCAGGCCCCTGTCCTGCCCTCACCCCCGGCCCGACCCAGACCCAAGTAAGGCCCAGGCCCCATGGCCCCAGAGCTTACCATGCTGAGCTGCTTGAAGACCTGGGAAGAGAGAGACACAGGTGAGCCTTGGGGCAGGGAGCCTTACCTGCCCGGCCCAGCCTTGGTGGAGGGGACAGGTTTGGGGGGATTGGTGTGGGTTGCTGCTATGACTCTGTGGCTACCTCACCGGCCCCTCCCAGAATTAAAATATTTATATGAGGTCAAGAAACAGCTTGTATTGGAAGCTATACAGAGTGTACACTCAGTCATTAATTCTTCTGCCTCAGCCGTGCTCAGCACTCCTGGGCCTGAGTGGCAGGGCCTGGGGTTCAGCTTGGGACCAGGCCAAGCCTCCTCCAGGCCGCAGAACCCCCAACTCCTGCCCCCACCGCTGAGTCAGAGAGGCGGCCTGTGCACGTGGAGAGCATTAGCTTAATTGTGCCCTGCGCTGCAGAGGCCTAAGAGGAATAATTAGAGGCCTGCGTCATGTCCAAGTTGGGGAGGGCATCAAGAGATTGAGACTCACCCCGCCCCTGTTCTGACAACTCGGGCTCCGCCATCTTTCCGGAAACCACCAGAGACTCTACCAAAGGGCCCCCTGCCCTGCCTCTTCCCCATCACAGGCACACACAAACACACCCATTGAACATCTGCTCCAGGAGAGACGGGACGTATGTAAAGGTGGGGAGACTGAGGCCACAGAACCCCAGAACTTGCCTAAGGTCATTCTGGAAGTAGAGAGGCAGACGGGGCCACAGAGCGCACACACAGGCATAATGACAGTTCCTGTAGACACAGACTATAATCCAGCCCAAGGAAATCATACCCATTTGGACACAGGTGGCCACATACCCCTCCCCAACACACACAGCCAGACACGGTTACGTTGCCACAGGCTGACTGTGGCCTCCCGGGCAGGCACTCTCTCACACACCAAGCTGCAGGGGGCTACTAGGGTAGAGGACAGCCCCCGAACCCCACCATACTGCCTCCCCCCCAAACATGGGTGACTCACCCTCTATGAGGACCACGGCTCCCAGGATGAGCAGCCTCAGTCCCCAGCTCCCCTTCATGCTGCTCCAAGCCACTCTGCCGCCTGTGCTCTGGTTCTCCTAGAAGCCACCTGGGTCTCCCTAGCTCCACCCCCAACTTGCTAGGAGTCAGGAGTCAGGAGTCATTGCTTTTCCTGGGCTGGAAGGGAGCCAGCAGTTTCCAGCTCTGGGGCTGTGGCTGTGTGACCCTGGGCTGTTCACCGCCTCTCCCTGGGCCTCAGCCTTGGCCACACTGCCTGGGTTCAAATCCCAGTTCCCCCTAACACTTGAGTGACCTTGGACAGTTAGCCCATTTGTGCCTTGACTGAAAAACTCCAAACTGTTGAGTGTAAAATTGCTTAGACCGAAGCCTAGCAGAGTAAACTTGCTCCCAAGCGTGGGAGCTGTCCTACTGGAACAGGTGAAGGGCATGGTGGGCAGGCCTTCCCCAGTTCTCACTCTTCATTTCAGCTTCCCTCCCAGGCCTGGGTCCAAATGGGTTTCATTTATCTTCTCCTATTTTGATTCAGAGGCAGGGTGTACAGGGCTAGGTGTCAAGGGGCCAGGCTGTCTGCTTCTTGCTGGCTACGAGACTAGCAAATCTCAATGCCTCTCTGCTACCTTCCCGGGAAACAGGGTTACATGGTGCCCACCTTCCTAACAGGTGTTGGAAGACTCAATTAGGAGGGAGGAACACTCAGGATGCATCCTTTTCCTCTTCCTGACTTCTAACTCAGAACAGACCAGACTGTTCAGGGACTCTGACCCCAACCCAGAGGCAGCTGTGGCTCCGGTTAAGAACATAGACACCAGAGCCATATGGCCCTGGTGAATTCAAGTCCTGAGGGCTCCCTAACCGCCTCCCCCAAACTAGCTGTGTGATCTTGGGCAAATTACTTAGCCTCTCTGAACCTCAATCTCCTCATCAAGATATACAGTCAGCCCTCTGTATCCACAGGTTCCACATCTGCAGATTCAACCAACTGCAGATCCAAAAAAAAAAAGAAAAAAAATCCAGAAAGTTCCAAAAAACAAAACTTGAGTTTACTGCTTACCAACAACTAGCTACCTAGCATTCACATTGTATTTACAACTATTTACATTGTATTAAATATTATAAGTAATCTAGAGATGACTTAAAAGTATATCTTAAAGTATATGGGAGGGTGTGTGTAGGTTATACGCAAATACTACGCCATTTTAATTAATTAATTAATTAATTTTTTTTGGCTGCACTGCGCAGCTCGCAGTGGGATCTTAGTTCCCCTACCAAGAATTGAGCCCGGGCCCACGGCAGTGAAAGTTCCAAGTCCTAACTACTGAACGGCCAGGGAATTCCCTATGCCCTTTTATATAAGGGATTTGAGCATCCTCGGATTTTGTTTTGGGGGTGGGTAGGTGAGTCTCGGAACCAATCTCCTGTGGATACCAAGGGATGACTGTAAGAATAATACCTACCTCATACAATTGATATAAGGATTAAAAGAGTTGACATGTCAGGGTCTTAAACAGTGAGTCACATGTGGATAAGTGCTTAGTACATACTGGGAAAAACAAAACAAAAACACAACCTGTACCTGGCCCTCCAGGGCTGCCAAGACTGGCTTGGGGTGGTAGATAAGGCAGCTGGAGGGGTTAGGTTAGACTACAGGAAGAACTTCCCAGCAAGCCTGCATAGAACCAGAAAGGCAGATCTCACATGCTTGGCTGTCCCAGAAGACAAGGCCTGGCTTCTGTGGGTAGGAGGGACAAGCTGCCAGCCCATTTCCTGGGAGTGGGGGCTGATGGCACCCCAGGTCTTGCTGACTCCACATACTGGAGAAGAGACTACCCTTCCCAGCAGGCCCTCCACTCTCGTTCTGACTCATATCTTCCTGTCCCAGAGGAGGAAAGACTGGGAAAGCCCCAACACTAAGGTCCCTGGCAGACAGATGGCTCAGATTTGGCTAATTTATTTAAGGAATTTTATTGCTCTGAACCATCCCTCCTTGGGCAATAGCAGGAACTTTGGAAACCAGTCTTTGGGGACAGAGGCAGAGGCACTAAGGTGAAGGAAACAGTGTGGCATGTTTGGTCCATTGTCCTGTGTGGGAGTATGGCAGGGGCAGGTTGCAGACTCTTCTAAGGATCCAGACGTAGCCTCCTTGGGCAAAGATCACAAGCCAAAGCAGAGCAGATGAGGTCAGCCTGGCTTGGGGTGAGGGCTCAGTGCCCCTTGACCTTGCCCTGGGGTTCCTGGACCTCCCGGAAGCTCAGCACCATCAGGCCCACGTTGATGGCATAGGTGGTGATGCAAACAATGCAGAAATCATAGAGCACGAAGAACAGGATCCAGGCCAGGTAGACAGAACCAGCTAGAGACACCAGGGAACTCAACACCAGCAGGACAGATGCCCAGCGGCCCTGTAGGCAACCTGCAAGGCAGAAAAGGGTCAGGCATGGGCTTCAGGACTAGCTACCGCTAGAACACGCCATGACTCCATGGTGCCACCCAGATGGCAGGGGCTACTGGGGAAGAGTCTCTAAAATGAGAGGCTCTGACAGGCTCCGCCAAGGCCTTGGTTCTCCTATCTGTTCAATGATCCCTGGCACCCAAGTAGTGAATTTTCCTGCTGAGCGCTACATGAGATGAAAAATAAGCAACCCTTGGTTTTCCCCCAGAAAGGAACTTCTGAGTGTTTTCCAGAAAACTGGGCTCCTATGAAGTCTCTAAGGGCCCTTCTGGCTCTGACAGTAAAGACTCCTTTAGGTTCCCACCTCCCAGGTGCTCAGTGATGAGCAGTTGGCCATCAGATGTCTGGGTCACCAAGATTGCAAGGGATGGGGCTGGGGTGGCCAAGACAGGAAGGGGCCTATCATGAGAGCGTAGGGCCGCTCACCTAACAACAACTGTAGTGTGTAGAAGATGCAACCGAATATGCTGTTGGATTGATTGAGGACGCTGTCCTTGCCCAGCACGTGTTCCACCAGTCCGAAGCCCCGGCCCCACCTGGTGGAGGGGAGGGCCCAGGTTAGGAGTGTTAACTGAGTGCCATGGGCCTTATCCTGGGAGGGTTATTTCCAAGAAGCCATCTGGGCTGTCCTTCCCCTTCTAGCCCTTCCCCCAACCCCCACATGAGTCCAAGGGTCGATGGCCTCCAGGAACAGCCTTTCTTTGGCCAGGACAGGATTCCATGTCACTGCCCCTATCCTCCCCCATCCCCAGGTCACACCAGGCCATGGCTCCCCCATAGGCTCCCCTTTTCATCCTAGACCTTCAATAAGTCTTAACATGGCAAGGTGAGTATAACCCTTCACCTTGCTTTACAGAGTTACCAGAGACTGGGAAACCAGGGCAGAATCTTTCTGCCCTGGATCCCTAAATCTCCAGCGCCCTGGCCACCCTCTCCCCTATTCTGTTTTAGGTCATCCCACTAACCTAGACCCTCAAGCATAGCCAGATCTGGCCACCTTGTCCCCAGGCAAAGCCATCCTTAAGACCATAATCAGTCCCTACACTCGACCCCACCTCCCCGTCCTGCCCGGTCACTTATTCCTTGTCATCAGGATTCACGTGCACTCTCCCTCGAATAACCCCAGTCCCCAGCACTATCTGACCCCTCTACTCCACACTCCTGTCTCGGACACACCCGTCTCGCCAGGCAACGTCCCCTTGAGCAGTCCGGCTTCGTGCGTCCGCTCCCCGGGCACCCCAATCCCAGATTCATCTGGCAACCTGGTCGCCATGCACACCTGGTCCCCATGCACCGCTCCTACGAGCAGCGGGTCCCCCAAGGCTTCACTCGCGCACGCACCTGGAGGAGAAGACGCGCGAACAGCTGATGGCGGTGCCCACGTCGCAGAGCGCGCGGTAATCCCGGTCCCGGGCGCGCGCCGCCTTCACGTGCAGCGCGTAGAGAGAGAGTACTAAGCCCGCGAGGCAGAGCGCGAGCCGCACCCACCCAGGACTCCGCCAGGTATTGCCCATGTCTTCTGGTATCGCCGGAGGCGCCAGCCGGAAGGGAGCCAGCCACGGAGCAGGGGCAGGGCCGGATTTGGCCACGCTCTCTCCCGCCCGTCTGTCTGGGTGACTGGTCTGTTGGTCTCACACTCCCTGATCCAATTGGCTGTTCCTAGGATTTGGCAGGAGTGCTGCCTGGGTACGAAAACTGCTGAGGAATGCTGGGACTGGAAAACCGGATTAAGGGACGTGGGTACTTACTGATTTGACGGCCTGCCAGGCATGATGGGAATTGTAGTCGGGGTGGCCGCAATGCCTCAAGGGTAATGGAGTCTCCGGAGTTTTAAAAATTTTATTAATCGGGCTAACAGTATATAGAGTTTACTCTAGCCCAAGCCCTGCTCTAACTTTGCAGCATCCATGAACTAGAGACCAGCGAATCGGGGAATCCAGCGAATACTGCGATCCGATCAAGAATCACGCGTTTTCCCTGAAATTACTATCTCAGACATTATTAGGACTATAACCTCCAATCCGCCTAGTTTGCCCAGCCATTCCCTCCTGCTGCACCAGCGCCTCCTGCTGGCCGATCTCACTCTCTCCGTCTCTCCCCCACACGCCCAGCTCCATCACCTCCGCCATACCCTTGACAGTACCCTAACCTTTGTTCTATTGTGGCGCCACCTGGCGAAACCTGAGCCCAGATCAACCCAACAGTCCCTCCTTTCCAAGCCTTTGGTGGGCTAGCTGAGCTCTCCACTTCACAGACATAGCATCTATTGATGACCCCTCTCACCTATACTTCCCCTTCCTTCCCATTTGCATTGAAACTTTTCCCCATTCTAGAAGTTGCAACAAATATCCCTTTACAATCAAGTTTTTTGGAAGGTTTTACACTCGCAGTCTTTACTTCCTCACCTCTTCCTTGCTGCCCAGCACACCATAAACTAGCTCCTGCCCCCAATACTCCCCTGACAACTTACGGCTAGTGTCACCAGGATGCTAAATTCAATGCATATTTTTCAGTTCTTATCATGCTTGGCCTCCCAACAGTATTAATCACTGTTGGGCACTCCTTCCTGGGAACTCTTGTCTTCCTCTGGCTTCTGTGGTATTTCACTCTCCTGATGGCCCCCTTCCTTCTCTGGCTGCTCCTTCTCAGGCCCCTTCCTTTTCTTCCAGACAATGTGGCCAGTGGAATAATGGCTCCTAAAGATGTCGGTGTCCTAATTCCTGAGACCTGTGAACATGTTAGTTTACGTAGCAAATGGGAATTAAAGGTTGCAGATGGAATTAAGGCTACTCATCTGCTGATTTTGAAACAGATCATCCTATGGATCCAATGTAATCACCAGGGTCCTTAAAAGTGAAAAAGGGCAGCAGAAGAAGAGATTCAGAGGAAGGTGTGGCTATAGAAGAAAATCACAAAGAGATGCAGTGTTGCTGGCTTTGAAGATGGAGAAAGGGTGTCATGAGCTAGGGAATGTGGGTGGCCTGTAGTAGCAAGAAAAGTTGAAGAAATGGATTCTCCCCTAGAGCCTCCAGAGAGGAATTTTTTTTTTTTTTTTTGTTCCAGCCATGTGGCTTGCAGGATCTTAGTTCCCTGACTAGGGATCGAACCTGCGACCCCTGCATTTGAAGGGTGGAGTCTTAACCACTGAACCACCAGGGAAGTCAAAATTCCTGTTGTTCTGAGTCACTAAGTTTGTGGTAGTTTGTTATAGAAACAATAGGAAACTAATACAGAGGACTAAGACTTAGACCAGTTTCTCACTTCTTTCCACAGTTTTCTGGAGTGTTCCTATATCCATGACTGACTTCCCCCTGAATGAGTCATCTAAGAGGGAGCAAGGTGGAAACCACAGTATCTTTATGACTTAGCCTTGAAAGTCTCATATTGTCATTTATCCTATTCTGTCAGGTCAGCCCTGTTCAATGTGGGAAGAGACTACAGAGGGATATAAATACCGGGAGGTGGGAATCATCGAGGATTCACACAAATCACCACAAAAATAATGACTTAAGAGAAAAACAATCATTTTATTTTCTCTCAGTTTTTAGGGGTTAGGCATTCAGTACGAGAATTTTGGCTGGGTAGTTCTGGCTCACATAACTGTGGTCAGATGCTGGCTAACGCTGGAACGATGGGAGGCTGATAACCTGGCCTCTCTCTCTCTTCTTGCATCTCAGGGGCTACTCGTGAATCCCTGTAGCCTCTCCGTAGGCACTAGTTTGGGCTTCCTCACAGCATGGCAGACTCCAGGCTACAATAGCCAGTTTCCAAAGTTGTCTTCAATGATTTCCACATCCTGGGATTCATAACATTGTGTAGTTTCTTCCCACACGAAATAGGGCTGATCTGACCCAGTAGGATAATACAGAAATGATGGTTTGTGACTTTGGCAGCTAAGTCATTAGGATATTGTGGCTTCCATTTTGCTCTCTCTTAGATCACTAACTCTGGGTGAAGCCAGTTGCCATGTTATGAGGACACTCAAGCAGCCCTAAGGAGAGGTCCACTTAGTGAGAAACTGAGGCTTCCTGTCAACAACCAGCACTAACTTGCTAGGCATGTGAGAGAGCCACCCTGGAAGTGGATTCTCTAGCATCAGTCAAGACTTCATGTGACTGTAGTTTTAGGCAACATGTTTTTGTTTGTTTGTTTTTGGCGGCACCGTGCAGCTTATGGGATTTTAGTTCCTTGACTAGGGATCGAACCCAGGCCCTTGCAGTGAAAGCGAAGAGTCCGAACCACTGGACCATCGGGCAACATCTTGACTGCAACCTCATAAGCAACCCTGAACCAGAACCACCAGCTCAGCTGCTCCCAAATTCCTGACCCAAATAAACTGTGTGAGATAATAAACGTTTATTGTTTTGAGCTGCTATATTTTGAGGGTAATTTGTCACACAACAATGGACAATTAATACAGGGCAATCAGACTGCTTACGTGGTAACTCAGGACTCCAGTAAAAGTTCTCCAGGGAGCCAAGTGGAAGCTGCATCATCTTTTATGATCTAGCTTCATAAGTCATCATATAGTATCCCTTCCACTGTAATCACAAATTTGCTTAGCTCTAATGGGAAGGAACACAGAACTTCACCTCTTGATATGAGAAGTGTCAAAGTCATATTCTAAGAAATTCATGTGGGCATGTGGGGTGGGGCATCTTTGGGAAACACAGACTGCCACATGAGGCAATATTGTTTCCACCGATGTCTTCCCTTACTCCTTACAGGTCACAGCTTCTGAAAGCTGACCTGAGCCCAGATCTCTTTCCTGGGCTCCACACCCCAGAGCAGAAACACTTCTTGGACATCACCATATGTATGTCTCACAGGCCAATCAGATGCAATGCAATGCACCCCAAACTGAGCTTCTTACCTTCCCCAAACCTGGCCCTTCTCTGGGGTTCCCATTTTAACCATGCCCCCCCCCAGTCCACCCAAGCCACTCCTCGTGGACCACTCTCTCATTCCCTATAATCTATGCAGACCACTACCTTGACCCAAACCATCATCACCTCCCACCTAGATAAGTGCAGTAGCCTCATCTTTGGTCTCTCAGATATATTTGTCTCTTACCCTAAGATACATTCTCCATACAGCAGTCAAAGTACCTCTTTATCAAAAATTAAAAGATGTAGTTTTGTCACTCTGCCTTTCAATAGCTCAAGAAGAAAGCCCAATATTTCTTCCATTTATTTAATAAATGTTTATTGATCACCTGCTATGTGCCAGGGACTGTGTTGGGGCACAGGATAAATCAGTATAGCAGACAAATATTCATACTGTGGGCTTACATTTTAGGAAAAAAACTGAGCAATTACTATGATAAATACATAAGTATATAGTATGCTGTCAGTGATACATGCTACGGATAAAATAAAGAGTAAAGCAGAAGGAATTCCCTGGCTGTCCAGTGGTTAGGACTTGGTGCTTTCACCGCCTGGGCCCAGGGTTCAATCCCAGGGAACTAAGAGGCCAAAAGCCACACAGCGTGGCCAAATAAACAAACAAATAAGAGTAAAGCAGTGTGAGGGGAATGGGGGTGGTTGCAATTTTAAATAGGGTGATCAGGTTGGGCTTTATTCAGCTGACATTTGGGCAAAAGCTTACAGGAGGTGAGGGATTAAGCTATGTGGAAATCTAGGGAAAGGGTGTTCCAGGCAGAGGGCACAGCTAGTGAGAGGTGGAACGTGCCTGGTATGTTGAGGGAAAAACAGGTGGGCCAGTGTGGCTGTTGCCATGAGTATGGGGGGTGAGGATGGAACGGAAAGAGGGGACGGAGGAGTCGTTCAATCTTTCTGGGTCTCTGTTGCCCCATCTGTAAAATGAGGATAATCACATTACCTCAGAGGTTCGTTACGAAGATGAAACGAACACATGTGCATCTCTTAGAAGAGCGCCTGACCAACGGGAAGGTGGACTCTTGGGGCGCAAGTCCAACCTCCACCGCCGGGAGGTAGCAGCGAGTCCCGGCCGGGCTGGCCCAGCGCGCAGGGTCAAATGCACTGCCGGCCACGCCACGGCCACGTGAGCGCCGGGATCCGGCACGCTTCAAGCCATCTTTTGCTTCTCTGCGCACTTCGGCCTTCCCAGCGGGAGCACCCTCCCCTCTCCCTTTTAACGCTGGCTCAAGCCCTGCCTGCCTCCAGCCGCCTCCAGAGCTGAGCGTCCTCCCAGCTTCACTCCAGGGTATTGCCGGGATGCGGGAAAAGAAAGGGTGGGAATGGTGTGGGGATGAGGGGCGAAGAGAAAATCCAGAGACTCAGGGAGCCCCTTCCTCATGATCTGTGCAGACTTTCCCCCAGTCCCTCAGGCAGGCCAGCCGGTGGTGAAGGGCCCACCTCTGCTGAAGTTTAAAGACAGCTCCAGGGAATTCCTTGGTGGTCCAGTGGTTAGGACTCCATGCTTTCACTGCCGAGGGCCGGGGTTCAGTCCCTGGTCTGGGAACTAAGATCCCTCAAGCCGCATGGCTCAGCCAAAAAAGAAAAAAAATGTTCAAAAACAAAACAAAACAGCCCCCCCCAAAAAAACTCCAAAATATCGCCTGCTTCACTTACCCCTTTGCTTTAAAAATTTAAACTATTTAGAAAATACATGACCATGGTGAAGAAAAATCTTGTCAGTATAAGTACACACAAACACACACTGAAAAGTCTCTCTCCCATCATCGCCTGCTTGGAAAAACTGTCTTTTCACTGGTCTCTCTTCGTTTGGTCTCACTGGTCCCAATCACTACCGCCAGAGCATTCTG